CTAAGCCACCAGGATGCTCGTCAAGAAAGCTGCTAACATCATAAACCTCAAGCAGCAATATATCATATACCTTTGTAGCTATGAAAGAAGATGGAGAAAGGCAACAAGCTATAAATATGTGGCGGACAACGGTATAGCATTTATCCTAACATATTGAGGACCGTAAAAGCATGTCGTGCTCTCAACCTATTCTGGTTTCTCTAGCTATATCGATGTGGCCAAAACGTCCGAAGAAAGGTTTTGAATTCGTTGAATTTGCGTTATGCATTCACTGCACATTAGCGGGTTACTTAGGGATACTGCAAAAGCACTTTTTGAAAACATGCATATCGAGGTTCCGGTATGTTCAAATATATCTATTTGTTCGACTTACAAAGGAAGGACACTTAGTCGAACTGTCAGATGGAATTTGGGTTCAAGATTCAAAGTCTCTCTTTCATATTTGCCAAGCGCTTTTCAGAAAGTTTCCAAGTGGTAGCATCACTTATTTCCTAGAGAATCAAGCTTCATCTGCGCAGTAGGGTGTAGAAGTAAGTACGTGCTTTGTCAGGGTAATTTATGCAGGTTTGAATCTCCTTGGCGTCGAGCGCTTTTGCATTTTTAAATAATGTTTTCAGCGTCAAATATTCTTCATGAAATGGATGACGCATTTCCGCTTAAATGATGGCTCAAATTTTAAAAGGTAAATGTATCTGATATAAACTTATTCGTGGAAAAGTTACCCTCAAAGGTGTTTGAACGTAACTTATTATTCGAGTAGCAAGAGATACACTCGTTTATGAACATAACTGATATGCTATTACAAAGTGTGCAAAGCGTATATGCTGCTCGCCGCAACGAATAAAGGTTACATCATTACAGCTGCTATTTTGTAGTCTAACATTACTCTGGGAGGAAACAGAACTGTCTGTCCAGGATGGGCGTACAATGGTTATGTAGAGAAACATCTATTGTTCAAACCCCTCAAACACTGCTTTCAGAGTAGTAAATTCCATGCAAATTTTATATCGATTAATTTTACCTCTTACTTTTTTGGAAACATCATCGCCATTTAATTCATGAACAACACTTATTGACGCAGAATTTTAAGAAAATGCAAAATGCTCGAACGCGAGGGGAATCGAATCTACATAAATTAACTTGACAAACCGCACACTTACCTCTCC